CCTAAAATTCATACGTACCTCAGGCAAGACAGTAAGTAACTCCAAAAATCCAGGTATAAACTCTGGATGAGAGTTCATCTCATCCCGAAGCCAATTGACAATACCACCATCTCCCCAGTCTTCTGCAGGAACATGTACAGCCAATGCAGCAACTGCAATGCTAATCTAAAAAGAAGGGAAAAATCTGAGCACAAAAGTTTCATGTTGCCAAAAAATATAGAATGCAACTGTATAGTACCTGAGTCCGAACAATAGGAGGCCCTTTATGAAACTTTTTCAACAAGTTCTACATTTGAAATATCAATTCCATTAAATCTCTATATAGGTGTTGCATTAGCAGTTCATATGATGTTTGAATCCAAACCTCTTCAATGGTAAAAGAATATGCATAAACCAACTCACATTTAAGGAATTCCTTAATTGGCAAAAAGCTTCAGATGGTAATTCTTCAAAATCACGTTGTACCTATCAAATGAATGCACCGTCACACGTACAATAAAACTTTGATCTTGAAGATTGAGTAAATAAATGCATGTTAAAGTTACCTTGCTTCTAAGAGTCTGTGAACAAAATATTAAAGTCTCTGGATTGCTTGTGGCATCATGCAGCAAATTGTCAGCAACCTAAAAGGAAGATTAAAAATGAAATAATAGCAGATATTCATATATAAGGAAAAGGAGAGAACTGAAAAATAAGCAACAAAGAATCACCAACCTAAATGGACAAAGGTTAAAATGAAATAAAAGTAGATATTCATATAAAAGGAAAAAAGAGAACAAGAAATAATCAACAAAGAACATATTGTTAAAATTGAAGGTGGAAAAAACAAGAGCTGAATCATGGACATGCATTTGATGTTTGATAATGCTACAATAAAGCTTAGAAATGCTAATAAAGAAGATGCGACGTAATAGAGAAAGACCGTGTCAAAAGGAGAGGAAAAGTCCAGAAGACAGGCGGAAATTATCATGAAGGACCTTGCTAATGCTAATCTTACTTGAGGCGTGGTTTTACATAAGCAAACGATGCTGGCTATAGTTCATGGAGCTAATTTAAGAGAAAGGACCATTTCTCGCTTCTTTTAGCAGTTTACTGGCTAAATTTTAATCACACAGCTCACGTGAATTATGGTGTAAATAAATGAGAACATTCCAGTATATAAACCTGTATTTTTAGTCCTCCCAGACAACCCAAGGAGAATTTTGTCTCATTTGAGCCCTACACTTGTCCTTTTCATCTATTGCTTCTTTTTCTAGCATCTTAATAGCAAGATTTCAATGATGCATGAATAAAAAATTGTGGTAAAGTCAAACTAAATGGGTGCACTGCACATATAACAAAAGGTTGGCCATTGAGAAAGAATTTTTGAAAAATAAACTAAATAGTAAACCATGCTCAATATTACACATTCCTTGCTGGATGAGCTTAATACAAAGACTGGAAAGAAGTTGTAACCCTACCAGAGGGGAGATGGAATAGAAGCAGATGATCACACAAGTGCAACAGCTAGCTGGCAAATATTTCATTACATTTTCCATGACACAAAACCAGGTAAGATACAAAGTACAAAACTTTTCAATAAGAAATCCTAATAAACTAAGAGTACCTGATTTCTCAAATATTCATTTGCCCTTATTTCAACCAGATGAGCATAAACAAATATGAAATGAAATTATTCAAGTTCACTCGTATTTGAAGTTTTTTAATGAGATTGTACATTTGTATATAGATATGATAATCCACTAAGCACAATTTTTTCACTGTTTCTATCTCTACCCTAACAATTCTCTAAAATTACCATTATTTCCTCAACAAGACACCGCAGTAAAGCACGAAACTATAACAATAGCAATAACTAATAGTATAATACTCCTAGTAATCATGAAGAACACCATTAGAACTTAAGCTCAAGCAATCAGAATCTAAAAACAATTTAAATAGAATATGCTAAGCTTTCTAGAATACCAGCGGGAGTTATCCTATCTAAACACAGCCTTACTGGCACAAAATCGAACTGAAAATCTCAAAAAGAAGAGGGGAGAAGATGAGAACACCTGCCAAGCATCGATAGTGCGTTGAAAATCTTGTAACCACCGATCGGCTTGCATACGCACCGCATCGTCGGGGTGATGGTACAATGCGTTTAGGGCTTCTTTCACAGTGTTCTGTAGCTCCATGCTTTGCATTCGTTTCTTCAATAACAGTACGCTCCCAGAAACTAGATTTGATTCGATCAGTGTCTTTCGAGTTCTGATTTGTTCTCTTTTCTAATGAAATCTTTTGGGAGGGTTTCTTTTTGGCGCCCGTCAGTGAATTTGGGGGCTTTGGGCAGCTCTGATTGGTTGTGATGGAGAAGATCGGAGAGGTTCTAGCCGTTCGATGCGTCTACTTTTTTACTCCTTGTCAATGCGATGGCTGGATGATTCTTTTTCTTTCTGGATTATTTTAAGGGTAAACTATTTGAATAATACCCTTTATTTTTTTTTTGTCTTGTTGACTTTGTACACCAATTTAAAAATTAAGAGTACGTTATCTCTAAAATTATCGATCTATTTGATTTTAGTCTTTAATATTATTGATTCATTCGATTTTAATCCTCAGTCGTTAACTCTCATTCGATTTTAATCCCTAAATTATGTCACATATTCGTTAAGAGTTAACAGCATAGAAACTTAAATCAGGTGCACTGATAATGTTAGGATTATTTACCCTTTTTAAATTGGTGACCAAAGTCAGACATTCTCTAAACAAAATATATTATTTATATAATTTACCCTTATTTTAATAGTGTTGTCATCTGTTTGATTACTAGTACAAGGGATAATAGCATGAATAGCCCTTGAAATACAGTTAATATAATAATGTAGTACTTATACTATGAAAAAGTCAATTTTAATTTTTTAAATAATGTTTGCACGATTTTGGTAGCTGAATTTAAGTAAATTTTGAAAAATAATTAATACAAAACTAAACTTGAAATTCAAAAACGATTAAAAACCCAAGTAAACAACATAACTTATTCAAACTAGTACCTATAAGTGAGGATGGACATTTGATCTAAATCCAAAATATTTCGAGAATATTACTATAATTAATCTTTATATATTTAAGATAATAGCTATAATATCTCTACCTATATTTTTTTCTAATACATATTTTACATAATAAAAATGATAATATATATATATATATATGTGTGTGTGTGAGTAGAGTGTATATTTTTATCTTAAAAGTCATACTAGAGTTTAGATCTAGTGGAACTTCCTTAAGTCGGGATCAAATAACGAGTGGAATGATGTTATACTTGAGTATAGTTCGAATAGGCCAAAAATATGCTTGAACCTATAACCATTCCTATACATAGTTAATATGAATGATTAAAACAATATCAAATAAAATTGAGTTATTACTAACTTTTGGATTATGAACCAAGCGATCTCGGTTGTTAAGGGGTTAGTTGTTATCTCTAGAGATTATGGTTCGAGCACGACGTTTGCAGTGGTGTTTGAAATGTTCATTATTAAATGATTGAGAGTCTTTCGAACATATATTATATTGTGATCACCTAAATTAATAGAAAATTATTTGTTTATTTATTTAATTCTTAAATTGATAAGCTAAATTTAGCAATTTTGTAACTATATGGAAACTAATCCGGCCTTAACTAGAAAAGTATAAATCCTTCAGCCATATCAAGAAAGAACGAAATGACTTAAAACGAATGAAATCCTAAATTTTATAATAAATCTTTCAATATGGACCTTATAATTTGAAAATATTAATTTTAATACTTGAAGTGATATTATGACTTTTATTCTAAAATTGTCTTCAAACTTTTGAACATTTTAATTTTATCATCAAATTATGACTCTCATTCTAAATTAGTCCATAAACTTTTGAACTTCCAATTTCACCCATAAATTCATCTAAATATGTAATTAGTTCAACTATCTTTTACCCTAAAATTTTCTCAAACATATAATAATATAGTTTGGGTTAACGGATTTATTAACAAGGGATGTGACTAGCATATAATGAACTTTCAAAAGTTAAGAACTAATTTAGAATGAAAGTCATAGTTTAGGGATAAAATTGAAACAATAAAAAATTGAAAATTAATTTAAAATGATTATTATACTTTGGGGATGGAATTAAAATGTTCAAACATTTAAGAATCAATTTAGAACGAGATTCATAAATTAAGGAAGCGTGATACAATTAACTCTACCATTTTAGTTAGGAGTATTCATCCGGTTAATTCGGTCACCTATTGAACCGAATAACCATTAACCGAATTAACTAGTTTTTTTTTCTTTAATCGTTAACTGAACCAAACTTTTTTCAAAATATTTTAACCGAACCGAACTAAGTACGGTTAATTTTGTCGGTTAATTGAAATTTATAAATAATATATATTATATATTAAAATTTTAATATTTTCAATTAATTCGATCGATTATTTTAGTTAAAACCGAAGTTTAAACACCCTTAAAACTAAATCATATATATTTAATAATTTTGGTTAATTCAGTTAATTAATCGATTTCGAACCAAATTAAACGATAACCGAAATTTAAAAAAAATTATTAACCACTAACCGACCAATTAACCAATAATTGTTTTAGTTTAATCGGTTAAATTATGAACCTCAAATTTTTGTAGATGAAATAAAAGTTGGATTATTATTCGATACACTAGGTAGACACTATAGTATTACGCGTCAAACTACGATTGAAAATGTGTCACATCACTCTTAATTGTACTTAACTGTATTAACGACAGATATTGTTTTAATAGATGAAATGAAAGATTATTATTCGATACACTATCCGATGTACACATTCTTTTCTTCTACTCTCTTTGAAGCTTAGCAAAGTGTAGGGTTTTCTGAGTTTTTAAACCATTAGTGATTATCAATTGGTTAAGCAAATGCATACAGAGCCATTAATTTTCTCTTAAAACTGTAACCATATCGTCTTACAAACAACATTCGCCTTCTTTCTTCTTTGGCCCAAATCTTTTAACAAAGACTTCATTTGGATACAGATTCTAATTCCATGGGCTTGGCTGCCGAGCCTCTCTGAAAATCGAAGTGCCACCAGATGCTGCAGGTGAAGGAGATGATGCGACAAAATTTGTTCCCGATACAGATACGGTGGGAGGATTCCCAGGATGACCTTGATTACCAGTAGGAGCAAAACGTGATGGACTACCTGTGACCACCATGCTAGCTCGAGACGGGTGGGGAACCTAAACATATGAGCAATAACTGAATATCATTAGCATATCTAACAGTCGAACTTCACAGAAACCCAACTTGGCTTGACAGATATTGTTCACTAATCAAACTCAAGTTTACAAAGCAATATGACGTACCTAGACAGAACATAATTCGATTTTTTTGAAGGCCTCAATGAAGATCAACCAATCAAACAACGTAGTTTCAAAGAATGTTAACTATGAACAATGTGATCCTTAGGTAGTAATAGATCATATTCTATTCCTCCGAAGTACTGAAACTGAACATCTTGCAGTTGATGCTTATTATTACGAGGTCTCAATTTTACCTACATCGTGGATCTATTTCCTCGAAACACGAAAAGAAACACCTCAATGCTTATTATCACGGCATGTGCTGTTCTTTTTTATTTTATTTTTTAATTTGAAAATGCAAAAGAAAAGGCTCTAAGCAACAGAAGGAAGCTTATTATCTACCAAATGCAAAAGAAGAAGCTTGTGGTGGTTTATAAGATAAGCAATTGCTAAATCGAAACAGGAAGAATAGTATCCAAGATAAGTTTAGGTTCAGATCTTAACTAAAGTGCACATCATCCTACAGTTAAGAGGGATCAAATTAAACATTCCCATAAACTTTAGCTTCCTAGATTGAACCACCCACTTTAACATTACAACACAACGACATTGAGAGATAAAATCTACGGATGTTCACGTATCGCTGTCTTGTTAGATAAAAAGAAAAGGAAGAACGAACATATTATATTACAACATCATGTTGAATGTAGGTAGGTCTTCTAAGAGGAGATTCTGAAGAAGGTGATGTACTGCTCATACGAAACACATGACGGGAAAGAATGATAGGGTTCGAAACATCATCAGCTTCAACTCCTTCATTTTCTCCAGCAACATTAGCATCCGAGCCAATCTGGGGAGTGACAATCCTCGTCATCGACCCAGAGTCGGTTGCAGTTTCCACTTGAAGTGGAACAGCCGGACAATTAGCTGTACCTTGCGTGCTATTTCTTCTCTTTAACTCCTCCTCCGCATTCAAGATCTATCGAATACTACCAATCAATTTCAGGAATGCAATTCTCGAAAGAAATGATTTTGATTCAAAAAAAAATCATTAGAATTGAGATTACCTGCTTTAGTACTTGCACTAAACCATGCTTCTTCGTGTTCAAAACTTGTAATTTCTCCTCAACGACCCTCTTCCTTTCTTCTTTTTCCTTTAAATCGTTTAATTTCTCACTTGTCTGGCAATTCACAACAAATCAAGAACATCTCAACAAACAAGAACAAAAGAAATTACAACTTTCAAGTAAACTAATATTCAAGCTCAAAATGTTTGCTTCAGAATTCAAAAATAAAAAATTTCAAGCGAACAATATACTTCTAGGTTCCTAATCGATTTAGTCTCAGGCGGTTTCTCTTTCTCAACCACTTGCAAACTAACATCTTTCTCCGTCAGCTCATCCACCGGATTCGTCAAACAATCTCCACCGTCGGATCCTCCAACTACCTCAACCTTAACCTGCGTTAGAGGCGGTCCAGTTTTCAAACCCTCGGACCGTTCAGACTCAACTTTGGCTTTTAATTTGGGGTCAAGGGGAGCGGCAGTGGGCACAGGGAGTTGAATTCGATGCGTTGAATCAGGATTAGGGTTAAAGGATGGAGAGAAATAACGGAGACGAGAGAGTGCTTTTTTGCGGCGGTGCAAGAGGGATTTGAAGTCTTTGACGGAAATTTTGGGAGTCGGCATTAACCACCGCCGTGGTACGTCCGGTGCTCGGTGGAGGTTCCCTCTGTACAAAGAAATCGCCACCATCTTCTTTCTTAAGGTTTCCCTCTGTTTTCTGGTATTTTTCGCACTGTCCTGATTTATGTGCCGAAAGGAAAAAAAAATTACCGTTATTGATTTTACCCCGACTTTTCGGTTTTAACAGTAACTAAAAGATTTAATTACATCATATGTCCCTAAACCATAACTCTCATTTTAAATTGATAATTAAAACTTTTTATATTTTAATTTCATCCTTAAATTATAACTCTCATTCTTTATTCCTCAAACTTTTGACTGTTCCAATTTCATCTCTAAATTATAACTCTCATTTTAAATAGGTCTCAAACTTTTGAATATTTTAAATTTCATCTCCAAATTCATCTGAATATACAATTAATTTTCAATCTTAGTTTAACCTAAAAAAATTCAAACATTTAATAATATAGATTAACCTAACATATTTATTAATAGCAATTTGATTGGCATATACCTATAGTTTGAGATCAAATTAAAATGTTCAAAAGTTTGAGGATTGATTTAAAATAAAAGTCATAAATTTAAAATAATTAAAATTAAAAAAATTAAAAAATTAAAACGAGTCATAATTAAAATGTGTGAAGTAATTAAAATATTTAAAAATTAAAAATTAATTTAAAATAAAAGTCATAATTTTTATAATTGCTCAATAAATTTAATAATTATTTAAATAAATTTTAAAAACTTAATAATCAAAACGATTATTTCAACATTAACCTTTAATATACTTCTATCCTATATAAAAAGTACATTAATAGCACATAGTCCCATTATAAACATAATAATGAGAGGAAAGAAAACAAAAACTTCAATTTCAAGATTTTAAAAGAGTGTTGTTATTCTTTAAGTGTATATGTTGTTAATGGTTAAGAAGAATTTTAAATAGATATTACTTTGTAACCACCTAGATTCCAAAAATAAATAATATTTTTAAAATAATAATAAATAAATAAAAAGAAAGGGGGAAAACCCAAAATCAACCATGGTTCCTTGCAAAAAGAGAATGGCACAACCATCCAGGTTCCCTCTTCCCTTTGTCTCTTAACCCTTAAAAGCTCTTTTGAACAGTTGTCCGCTCGGTATGAGTACTATAAATGAGTACGGATATATGTGCAAGTATACACAATCGAACAAGTAATACAGTGATAAGTTAAGTATCGTCTCCACAGGGAATTTGGGAAATCAAATAGGTTTGTCAAGGCACTTTACTTTGTCACCTAAGTAAAGTTAGTGATGGGATGTACAAATGATAATGTTGTGGCAAAATGGAATGACTGATGTGGAAATGAAACTATGGTAGCAGATGGATATGTCGTGGCAAAGTGGATTAAAATGTCGTAGTAAATTGAATTGTGTTGAGTGCAAACAAATGGAAATGTCAAAGCAAAATAAAATGTAAATATACGATTTGATTTATAGGACTTTAGCTTTCTCACATGACAAGCTCCTATGAGAATGAGTGATAGGAGTCACTGGGAGAATCTAAGTATATTTCTCCGAATGGTATTTCTTCTATGCCTAGCCTGCCCAACAGAGTTTACTGAGGTGCCCTATGTTATCTCTAGTAAGGGACTCGACAGATTAAAGATGCCCTGGCAAACCCGATTGGCGTAAACCCCTGCAGTGTTCCTATTGGTCCAGATAACAGGATATGTCTCGGCAATACCTTTTTGCGGTAGCATTAACATCTAGCCTATCGTTCTTGCACAACTCCTTTTAGTCGAATGAAATCCTAACCTTATCGCTAAGGTGGATTAGGCCTAGTTACTACCTAGAACCCCTTGTTTATGTAGTTCCTCCCTAGTTTCTCTCTAATACTAAGGATATTTTGCCAAGGTATTCTCTCGAACCCTAAAAACCTCCTAAGAAAGTGCTACTCTCGTAGCTCCTACAACCTTAAGGCATTAAGCTTCACAAACAAAACAGGTTAAAGCATAGAAAAGCAACCATTCGTTGAAATAAAAACTTAAACATCCAAGCAAACTCCCACCAAATAGGATTAGTTCATGGTGAGGTTCGAAATAAACAAGCACAAAGCAAGTTTCATTCGTTCCTTACAACCCAATAACAAAATATGAAAGCAAAGAAGTAAGGGGAGGAGAGAAAGCCTTCGACGTGCACTGCCCAATGCTTTCCTCGACCACCAGGAACTACTCCCAGCGAACTGGCTCCTCTCGGACGCTCAAGACGCCACTCCCTCAGGCTTGTCAAGGAGAAATACCACGGCAAGTAGGATTGACGGAGAAATATGAGATATTCTCTCTCTAAATTTTTAAGCTCAAATTTGGGTGGAACCAAAGTCTTCAACAATGTGGCTTCATCCTCTATTTATAGGGGAAAACTAATCCTAGGACTTGGTGTTGACTTTCCTAGAAAACCCCAAAACCATGGTTAATTTGCTTGAGAGTCGGGCAGGAAAGCCTATGATACAGCCTGAGTAGCTGGCTGAGTGACCAACATAATCACGTTGCAGGCGCCCAAGGACAGACAGGATCTGCAGGGTCAGGCGGTGTCATCAGCAAGACCGACGGTTGTAGCGTCGATCCCTCCAGGCGGATCTTCTCGCTTGAGAGATCTTAGAGAGTCGGAGACAACTGCCTTCAAAAATATCTTCTCGCACTTTCCTCGTTTTCGAAATGCCAGTCAGACTTGGTATTTTCATTCTTCTTAGCAATATCTTGATGTCACAACATTTCCTTTCCTCTTTTTCTTGCTTTCAATTCATGCACATCATCAGAAAAGTACCTTTCCCATAAGGCAACACCGCTTTAAAAATAAATTGTCGCGGCAAACTGAATTCCACCACATGCAACTAAATGTTTCTAAATGCAACTACATGGTCCTAAATGAGCTATTAGACACTCAATAACTTAAGTGAAAAGATCATAAAATGTGACATTTTACGGAGTTATCACACCCCCAAACTTAAGCTATTGCTTGTCCTCAAGGAATGAATAGTAATAAGCAAAACAAAAATACCATGACAATTTCAAAAGCAGAATAGTCTTATGGGATAAAATTTCAGCCCTCAGCACAGATGGCTTCAACATGCTAGACTGGTTCGAGAAATCTAGTATTGTCCCCTAGGGCAAGATTCTTTGTGTGGGTGTGTGCGTGTTTGTATCTAACCCATGCTTAACAAACTTAAAAATTTTCTAAGCAAGCTTTCTTAATTTGCTATAACATTCAGAAATTTTTACTCCCACCTTGTTTTTTTCCTTTATTTCTGCTACGAGAGGAGTCAGCCCATCACTTTACCATCCTACACTCTAGGTGAAAGGGAGCATACCTTCCACCCCCGACTTAGTCAGGTAGAGTCATCCCGTGACTACTTTCATTCACTCATATGCCATGGCATAGCGGAATATCCCTCTACAGATATGCCGATGCATTTATTCATAACTTCATTCATTTCAAAAAAAATTATAGAGGAGTTTTTTCATTCAAATTTTATGGCATGACATTTAGAATTCTCTTATAAAAAATTTTCTAAGTTTCTCAAGCATGGAAAACATACAATCGTGTTTTCAAAGATTTCAAAGAAGCAAGTCCTAGAGTTGGTTCTATCATCCTCAACCAGTCATGTACATTCTTTTCTAGCCATCAAGAATTCATCATCATTGGGCATCCTTAACTAATTCTAGAAAACTATTCAAACATTTACTAATGTCATGGCATATTTATTTTACTGATACTATCATGCAATGATGCGAGAATTCTACTTCCCCTAAACTTGAGAGAGGCATTGTCCTCAATGCTTACTAAGACTAAAGAAAATGAAACTACATACTATTAATGCAATGAAATACAAGGTACCTTGACTCTAGGCGGGTGGTGGTGCAGCGGTCGCACGCCGAGGGCGCTTTCTTAGTTTGGCGGGGCTGGAGTGTTTGGAATCAGAAGCGGGTGCAGTCGGAGGAGTACTGGGACCTTCTGGGATAGTTTAGAGTTGGGGCTCCTCACGCTTAGATACCTTCTTCAGGCGGTGTCGGCTCCTACGCAAAGGAGCTTGTTGTGACATCTCAGATTGGGACTCCTCTGTTAACTCGGTGGACTGCAATACTTCGGGTGTCTTCTTCCATTGGCGCGGCATGTTGCAGTATATCTGGATGTTCTGCCGCCAGAGGTTCAACAAATTGTAAGGGTTCCGGGCGATGAGCGAGTTGGAGATTGGCTTTTCGATCTGCATCGGGCGACACAACATGGACGAGATCAGGGTCAGCGGGCTCTTCTACTTCAGCAGGCTGGGGACTTTCTGCACTGGGTGATTAATGAACGTCGATAGTGGCAGGACGAGGTACTTTTGTAGATGCCTCGATATCCTCATTTGGTGGCAATAGTGTGTCAGGGAAGTCTGGAACGGTGAAGCTCGTATGTGGGTAAAACTCTAAGAATGTGTTGGTGAAAAACTCATCACGGCGCTTAGCATAGGAAAAATATGTCATCAGTTTGTCGGACAACTGCCCGACTTGCTCTTGCGTGTGCTGGATTGCCTGCTTTAAGGCATCTGAGTTTGCCCTGGCATGTGGAGATGGTGAAACACGAGATGTGGTCGCCTCTTTTTCTTTTCCTTTTGCATCCTTCAGACCCAACAACATAGGGATTCCAGTAATATCCGGTAAAATCTCGTCAAACTATTCTTCAGGAACCTTCTTTTTACGACATAAGGCAGTGATGAGATTCAGAAATACCAGGATACTTGCAGGTCACTTCAGGAATAAATAGGCTTGCTCTACAATGATTTTCCCTACATCAATGGGGCGCCTGAATATGATTGAGTATAGTAAAAGCATCCATTGGAAATACATGGTGGTGTTGTGGGAAGTGGGCAAAAGCTTGTGCTTCATAAAATGGTTCCATAACTTTACTTGCGGGAGTAACTTCTCCCGGTCCACGGTCCTATGACTCAGTTGTTGGCCGTTCCATTGGGTGTCGGGAAGACAGAGGTATTCCAGAATGCCTTGGTATGTTTTGTTGTCTGCGTCATGCGCGAATGTGGCATGACGGTCTTCCAAAACCTGTAATTTAAAGTAACGATAATAGTAGTAGGAGTAAATCGAATAGAAGTACCACAAACCATGACGGCATGTTGGTTTGGCTCGGAGATG